ACTTGCGGTAAGGTTTCGGCTCTCAAATCCATCGTACTTGCTGACATCCTCGAAGATGACGCACTTCGCAGGCATGTTGATGCCCATGCTGAAAATGTCCGTCGCGAAGACAAGTCGCACGAGTAGCCGTTGAAACAGCACTTCAACAACCTGAATAAAATGCGAAAGTGCATGTCAAGGGTGCATGTTTGTCTTAGTTACACACAAACCCACACACACCCCAACGTGTTGACTAGCTCGAATCGGCGTTCGCATGGCCACTGCTACTAGCTAATAATTTAATCTAGTGCGATTTGTGCACTCGCAAAAGTAGAGCAATATCGCTGCGTGTGTGTGCCCCCAACCAAGCACCCAGAACATGTGTTCATGAGACATAACCAACCTCCTTGAGGAGAGGCAGCATGCCCGAGTGGTGGAAGGCGATGCCGCGCATTGCCAGTCGGCGTACGAGACGAACTTGGTGCAAGTCCTCATCACTTGTCTCCAATCGATTGCTGACGGCCGCGTGCAGGAATGCGCCCACTTCACTTTTCTCAGCTGCGTAAATAAGGGACATGGGGTTACTATTGGCCAACAGATGCACTGGTGTACAGCAGTGCCCGTATAACAACTGTACACTGTGCCATCGCAAGCAGGCGTCAGTAGTAATCACCAACCACATCATTGCCTACACTTGAACAGCAATATGCCCAATCGCAGCGCATTGTAGCATAGACATAGAAGTCTCCCACGTGAGACGCCCACCACCTGCCACCCCCAATAGAAAGCATGCGACCATGTAGAACACGATGCTCACCTTCGTTGAGTAGGTCGACAGTGTCGGCAGCGTCGACGAGATCGTCGATGTGCGCACGCGAAAAGGTGAAGACTATAGCGGGCAGCAGTTGGTGCTCCTGCACCAGGCGTAATATCCCCACCGAGGTAGAAACCGAGCCCTCGAGGTCTGAAACATGAAAATACCACTTAAGCGCAGCTGAACTTGCCGCTCCCTCACGCAACAAACACGCCATGTCACAAAGTGAACGAAACAAAACACAGCAAGTCACTCTAAGCAGGTGCTCGTCTGTTTCCAGCGAGCACTTCAATTCTCACGAATTCCCTGACGCTTACATGCACTAGGCCGCATTCTCCAAAACTCCTCGTACGAGTCAACTGCCTCCTGGTAGCCTGAAATAACGAAATGCCAAATGTCATAATTCATACCAATCCAACATATGCAATTGGCGTGCAGGGGTAATAGGTTAAGGCAAGTGCAACGACAATTGAGGCGCTCATGTGTTCCCACCACCACCACCACCGTGCCGCGCTATCCACAAACACACCCACACACACACACAATCACGCGTGACGGGGTGGGCCAAAGGCATGCAGCAGACCGAGTCAGGCTGAGTGGCTCACCTTGCGTGCAAAATTCATTCTCCTCGTTCACGACAAGGTGTAGTCGGGTGCGCGTTGGTCTTGTAAGGCCCGTGCAGATGAAATGCCTGAGTGGAACAGGGCGTTTGGAGGTTTGGCATACGTGGATGCAGGTGCCACCGCGGACTCCACCCAGCCAATCCGCGAATTCAACGACGTTAGGTAGAGTCGCACTGAGCAACACCAACACCACACGGTGAGGCAGCAACATGAGCAGCTGCTCCCACAC